TATATAACCTGAATTTTTGAAAAACCTTGTTGCATGATGTTTATCTAAACAATTAAATACTCCATACATGAGAATTACCCATGGATCACCGTGACCACTATAGCTCAATATCTGATATCTATATCTTCTTAACCATATCTTATATACAGAAAATGCTTCCTCATTGGGATTTGTACTAGAGGAATATGGTGGTAGAAACTCTACCACAATACCAGCTAATGTAGCAAGCTTGATAACCAGTTGACTTTTATGAATCCATGTATTGTCCATTACCAGAACTGAATAGGCATTTGGAACACAGTTCCGATGTGGTAGAAATTCTTGTAAGATAAATCTCTCATATGATTGACATGTAAAGAAACCTATATATTTATTCAAATATAAGTTACTATAACAAGATTTAAAATTTATTTATTTATTTTTATTTTTAGTATATACATACCTTCAATAACCTCACATGCAAAGAAACCATCTATTCCAAGTGCTGGTAGTATAGAATATTGAATATTCCATACAAATTAAGTTTATCTTAAAGCCCTGTTCTCCATGCTGCTCATAACCATACCACCTATATGTAGTTCGACCATCCTTTGAGGTCTCATCCACAAATACTAGCTGCTCAGCCTGGTACATTGACATATGAAGTTGGTACTCAGTACATTGCTGTTTCTTTCACTCCAGTACTATTTGTGTAAGCTTTTTCCATGTAAATCCTTCTTGTCATACCATTCTATAAATTGTAGAAATATTAGCTGGCAGATCTCATTCCCAGTGGCTTTTGAGATTCGTAAAGAGCTTATCACATAGCTCATTGAGAAATGTATCAGGACGACTTCGAAGAATTTGTTGTGAATACTTTTATTTATGTTATTAGTACAACTTAATTTCAATAATAATAGTAGTATCTTTTTACTTACATTTAATACTGGACGGTTATACTTCCTAGGTCTCCCTATTCTTGTTCCCTTCTCTTTATCTACTATACAGTACTTCATCTTAAAAAGTTCTACTACTCACCTAACTGTTCTTTCTGAGCAAGAAAGCCACTTTGCTACCTCCTGTGTTGATCATCCTACTAAAACATGCTGAATTATAAGCCATTTTACTGGTTTTCTAATTTTGTATTTCATGGATTTTTGGGGGATCATGATATTGCAAGTACTCATATTTATTGTTTTTGAAATACTGAAAAAGCTTCTGTAATGTTTTCTTTTTAGAAAAAGCTGCGGAGTATCTTTCATCTTGTAATTCTGTACCCTCTGACCAGACTGCTAGGTTCCATAGTATACCCTACTCTTACAACAATATTTTTTTCTTCACTCTTATCTTTGAGTACTCTGGACCAAACTTTTCCAATATGCTATAATGTCAAGCTATAATGGTATTTGTTCCTTATTGCTTAGCCAAATGCTGTTCACCATATCCTGAACTAACCTATTTGCCACCCTAAACCTTGTTGTCATGCTGTAAAGTAATCGTAAGTTAACTCTTTTGGATTGTGCTAAGCTGAAATGAATCCAAGAAGCAAGCTCAAAGTTTTCAATGTTTTTAACTTTGAATACCGTACACTTACTCAAATCTAGATTTTAGTTTTAAAGCAGTAATCACTTGGAGAGTAATTGGGACTGGCTCTTTCAAGTTTCTATGGTATACTGTACAGTACTCGAGTAGGGCTGATACTCATGCCAAGGTTGTGGCTGGCCGCCACAACCCCTGCATGTTCGCAAGCTCACAACCGTGGGCACTCTAAAGACTGCCTGACAGCTCAATACAACTTTACAGCTCAACACAACTTTGTGGCTCACCATAGAAAATTAGTGGCTCAACACAACTTTCTGGCTCAATACCACCCTCTAACTTTGTTTAATCCCATAACTTATAGTAATTCAATAACTTCTTAAAACATTCTACAAAACAAAAAACACCTCCTACTCACTAAAGATATTCCTTATAATTGAATCAATTATGCCTCCTACACCAGCCTTTGTTCTACCCAGCCAGTGGGTTGAACCAAATTGTAATATTGAGATACCAATTCAAGCAGCTATTACCTTCATTCAAAGCCAAGAAAACCAGCATCCAAATATTGCTACTATTGTATGCAAATATGAGATTCCTATTACTCAACTTCACACTCATTTGCAGGGACATCAGTCAAGAGAAGAGAGAGAAGGCACAAACTGCAAACATTCTGAGAATCGGGAATTAGCAATTTGTCTGTATCTTGATAATGCAAGGCACAAAATGCATAGAAAAGAGCAGAGCAGGCTGAACATAAACTATTTCTGGATAAAATAAAGCAAGAAGCAAAGAACCAACGTACTCTTCATGCACACAAAGAAAAAATCAAGGATAATAATAACTGGAATTCAGCAGCAAGCAACGTTGTGAAAGTTAATGTAAAATAGAATTCTATAATACTCTCTGTCAACTTCATGCTTTATACAACTCCAGGGTTCTATTTGATTGTATAGTAAAGTTATGTCCAATCATTAAGCTAAGTTACAGGGTGGTGTTGAGCCACTAATTGTCTAGTGGTGAGCCACAAAGTTGTGTTGAGCCACTAATTTTCTATGGTGAGCGACAAAGTTGGGTTAAGCTGTAAAGTTGTATTGAGCTGTCAGGTACTCTTTAGAGTGCCCACGGTTGTGAGCTTGCGACTATGCGGGGGTTGTGGTGGCTAGTCACAACCTTGGTATGAGTAGGTATTTCTTAGTAAATTTACAAGTACGGCCGATAGATATAAGTCACGTGGGCCTCATAGGAAAGATTTGGCAATAGAATTTTTCTTATCAGACCCACTTGACTGTTATATCTATCGGCCATGGTGGTACTCGGGTATGCACCCTGTGCATACCCCGTCTCCGGACATAACGTCATTCCAGGGAAGCTGGCTCATTAGCGGGATGCGGCTGTCACAAACTGTGACTAAGCAAGGCAGATTTCACATAGCTCGGATTTTCGAAGTTATAGGTATATTGGAATTTCACATGACGCACACTAGTACGCCATAGGTTATTATGTTTACCTGTTCGTGACTCACAGTTGTGAGTCACACGATGTTATGATTTTCGTACATGACTCGTACTTATGAGTCATGGGTTTCACTCAGGTGACGCAAGTTGTGCACCTGATTGTGTTATTGTGTTTTGATTGGTATAGGCATGTCGCGCAGCGACTCATAGGAGTCGTCTGATGGATTTCATATGACTCATGGTTATGAGTCACAGGGTTCGCGTGACGCGAGGTGTGAGTCACGCCAGGTGAAGAGCGACTATATAAAGGGTCACTAGGACCCTGAATATAAGCTCTTTACACGTTCTTCTTGTTTATTTCCTACCTTTAAGTTATTATTAATAAAATCTACCTTTACGCTCTTTAAGATTTATCTTAAGAAACCCGAGAAGTGTCTTTCCTCTCACGAGGAAAGATTAAAGTCCTAAGCGAGGACTAAGAAGAAGAGTTAGGAGATAGGCGCGAGTACGATACTAGTCAAAGGACTAGACTATCGGATTAGCGTAAGCATAGGCCTCAGACCTATCACCTCACAGAGAAGTATCGTTACCTGTCGCCAGGTCCTACCGGGTAGGATTCTTAACTGCGGCTCACCCATGGGAACCAGTAGAAAACCAAGTACATCTGGAATTATCTCTATGGATAATTATGAGATCATCTCAAAGAATTATCAGTAAGTGCTTTGGAATATGAAGAATTCAAATATGCAAATGGTTTTTCATAATTATGAATTCATCCTCCTGGGTAGGGTTTTTAAGATGGTGTTTCAGAAACAAAACTATTGGCGCTTTTTAGTCAACAAAAATTGAAAACCATATCAGAAACATCTTTATGAAACAATTCAGAGACTGAATAAGTCTTACAAGCTTATAGCTAATAGTTCTCTAAGATATTTATTACGAATTTGTAATATTTTACTGCCTGGTAGAAAGCTATAAAAAATGAGTGAATTACATACAAATTTAGTATATTTGAGGATAGCATAGCATGTTACTGTAATAACCCATAACTTAGATTTTTTGCATCCAACTTTCTAGTTACTATTTGAGTAAGTACAGTCAATTTGAAGTTTGTCAGGTATGTTTTCCATATTCTGTACCTTTATCATTAACATAAGCTTTAAACTGTAAGTAAATGATTATACAATTACAGGATTATGAAAATGAAATCGTTATGCCATCTAAATACTTACTAATAGTCTTCCATAGATTTAGTAACTATGTTGGCTAATCTATATCCATATTTAATTAGACTAATATGATTATATTAATCATTATAAGAGTTATTTAAAATAATTATGATATTTTACTTATACTATAATCTAATAAGGAACTAGTATTTAATCAAACTCTTAGGATTATATCTTAATCTCCTAATTAGCATGCATATAATAGCAAAATTTCAAGCTGTCCTGATTATTGGTACTAATTATTTAGATAGATAATAAAAACATCTAGTTCTTAATCTACTATTCTACAACTAATTATAATACAAGCATATAATATGAAATACCTGTCCCTACAGTTTAAAAACTAGGATTCTTGTATTAATAGAAAATGTTAACTAGATTTTAAAAGGTCAAAGTTATAGGTGATCATGGGAGCAAGTTATACTAGTATTAAATACCTCAAATTTGCATGTAATTTACTTACTTTCTATTAGGGTCTGCTAGATATTATAACATTAAAAAATAATAATAAGCAATAGTAATAACTATTCACTATAAGCCTATATGACTTATTCAATCTCTTGAATCACCTATGAAGATACTTCTAACATATTGTTTGAATTTTGTTTGCAAGAAAATCATAGCAAATTAATTTAAAGAAAACAATTTTAACAACATTGTACAAGAAGAAAAATTCATAATTATGAAATACAATCCACATATTCCAATTCTCCATATTCCAAAGTACTTACTTATAAGATTTCATGGTGGTCACATAATTATTTATAGATATAATCAAAGATGTATTTCGTTTTCTACTAGTTGCCATGGGTGAGCCGTATCCCGGTGATGAGCCACTTCCCCGGGAATGACATTACCTGCCAAGGTGATGTACCATGTGACAAGATTATATGGAGGTGAATATTCTGCGCACTGAGTCAAGAAGTAGCAAACCTTCTTCAACCCCCCATCTGAGGAGCAGCAACATTACAGAGCCGACAGCAGGCAGGAAAAATATTGCACGATGACAAGGTGAGTTTGTTTAATGTCTCTTTATCTCTCTTACTGGCTAGAGCATTGAAGACTGACTTTCGCCAAATTGACGAGAAAGTGTAGTGGAGAATCATGCTTAGGCTCATTGTCAACAAACAAGCGTTCAAGGCCATCAGCATTCACCCCTACCATTCACATAGGGGCTTTGGCACCGTTCCAGTAAGATCGGGGGTTCGATAGCATACAAATTGCACTCTAACTGGGTGTCGCAGAGACGAAACACCGATAGTGACAGTCATCATGTTAACGATCACCACCATGATAGCAGCGGTGGGTGTGCGGGCTTCGGGTCCCCTCCAGGCATCACCTGGAAAGACTTTGTCCAACTCGATAAGGTGCGCTCGGCAATTAGAGTTCTGATACCGGATATTGTACTGAGATTTCTTAGGATGTTTTTAATATCAAACTGAAGCTCGACCACATTCAATCTGGACAGAGCGAGATGAGAGCTGATGTTAAAGTCCTTAACAGCAGGATGGACAAAAATTTGACAAGACCGATAGTAAGATTGACCGTGTGTTCTACGGTGTTATTACTACTCTTGTTGGGTTTGTCTTGAAAGGAGGGTTCGATTATTACCAGGCCTCCAAGAAGTAGGCTTTGGCATAGGTAACTGCAGTGGAGTCCATTCATTTGAAAAGATTGGTGACTGATTGGTATGATATAGATGTGACTCTTTCCATGGCCTTGGGGTTGATTGGTAGGCAATGTCATTGATAGACTTTTTTTCTTTTTTCTTCATCAATTGACGCATAGGATACGGTGCTACGGGAATTTATTTGGTACGCTAGGCAATTAAGCAGCGATAGAATAGGCAATTCTATTTAATTGATTTTCCTCCCACTTTCTCTTCTTTTCAATTGATCACCCTACTTAATTCGTGTATCACCTATTGAAGGGGTAGGTTCACTTATAGAACGCTGACCTAGCTAATTAAATGTGCTTCACCTTCCCCTTGTTGAAGATCCTATCGTTTGTATGCCGAGGTTCACGGAATTTTAGCTCGAAAGCCGGAGGAATGCTTTATAGTCGCACCCCGTTGTCCCGGATGAATTTCTATGAATTATGAATTTCTTTATGCCAAAACCAAACCTGTTGTCCCGGTTAAGTCGCTGTCCCGGACGGATTCTTAGGGCGCGTCTGGTCGTCCCGAGTTTTCAAACCTTGATAATCACAAAAGCTGATTTGCAGGCTGCAACTCATTTTGATTTTTTTAGTTTTCAATAGTTCGTTAGCTTGGGGATGGGATGGGATGGGATGGTACAGGAGCGGAGGGGATACGTTGCGGCTGATTAGAGCGATGCAAGCTATTTTGGGTGTTGACATTTTTTTTTTTCTGTTGGTGTGTGAAGACCGGGGGGCAGGAAGAGTGCCTGCTCGATGCATCGAGGTTGCTTCCATACCGATATCGCGGTACCGGTACTCGAGTACACCGTTGGCTCCCACATCATAAATTCTCACTAAGTCAAATGACTCAAATCGGACGCTAGAGTTCACATCACATTACTTTACATTGGAGGGGGGGGATATTAAAGAATAAAATAAATAAATTACTTCGGACATTTCGCACCTGTACTCGAGTATAGTTAGCCACCCACTGCTTATCCTACATACCCAAAGCTAATAACCCACACCTTTCCTCCCCTTCTCTCGATCTCCTGTGACTCGCCGTCGTCATCGGTGATCTCCCACATGTCTATCTCCGGAATGATCAATTCGTTATCCGAACCCACCGCCTCGAGGCGGGAATTTTCGGGGATGGTTTCGGTTTGCCGAGCTAGGGCGGTGGTTGGGAGTGTAGCTGGTATAGATAGTGGCGCACTAGTGGCGGTAGGTGTGAGCTGACGTTGTGGGACTTCAGGGATTGTTTGTTAGGCGGTTTTTATAAAGGTAATCTAGTGTGGTGTGTGCTGTAGAAGCTACTTGGACAGGCCGGGGTCCCTGAGCAGGCGCAGGAACAGGATTCGGTCCTAGCGCTGGCACTGAAGGGAGAGGAGGTATTTGTGTATATGGCTTGTGGCGTTTCGGAGAGGGGGTGGTGTCGTGGTTGTGCCATATACTGCGTTTTTCCCCAGGCTTCTCAGTTATGTTATCTAATTGGGCTGTATTTGTTTTATGATTCATGGCCACATATTTTTCCTCTTCGCCCTCTATTTCCTAGTCGTCTCCTTCTACTTCCTCCTCCTCCTCCTCCTTAGGATTATTTACCTACCAACCCAAAGGACTGGCAGTCTAGGCCTCACAATCTCTTCAACCGCTAAACTCCCTCTACTTGCGCCGACTAGGTGGGGGAGTATGCTCCCGCCCACCGAGTTTCCATTCGGTGCAGTACTTGGGAACAAGGCACTCACTATGATTGCTTTCTCATAATACATATAGCAGCACGATCTAGCAGCCTTCTCGTCTGAGAGTGAATATGGTTGGGCGGCAACTTCCCCACTACAGCTGCTGAGAGTCCCCCCGCGGCCGAGACTAACCCCCGAAGCCACATTGGTCGGGGGTTGGGCTACGAGGATGGTGAGAGGAACCAGCCCGCATGGGCTTCCTTCGGTTTTCCAGCATTTTTGCTGCTGCGTTTTCCCAGTGCGTTTGGCAGGAGGATGATTTTTGAGCCTGTCGGCGTTAAGGACGAGGTCGGTGTAAAGCGAGGACAAATTGGAGTGACAGGTAGTATCAGATAGAACTATAAAAACCTTTCACTTTGATGATAGATAGGTTATTTGATATAATCCTTTTCTTATGCAAAGGTATAACTGTCATCTTAATATTGAGATCTGTTCTCCAATACAGGCAGTTAAGTATTTATACAAATATGTTTATAAGGGACCAGACTGTGCAAGTATTATTCTTGATGATTCTACAAATGTTGATGAGGTAAAGGTTTATTTAGATACATATATATTTTAGCACCAGAGACTACTTGGCAACTATTTGGTAATAAGATACATGATGGTAGTCCTTCAATTCAACAACTTGAACTTTAACTTCATCTTCCCAATCACCATATATTATACTTTCAGGTTCACGATAACCTTCATGAGGTTGTTGATCAAGGAAGTGCTAGAGATACTCCCTTGACAGCCTATTCAAGTTTTAAGGCAAATGTTACATATATACAAGTACAAGATCTACTCTATCAAGACTTTCCTACCCATTTTGTATTCCAATGAAAAGAACCAGAATAGATTTCATGAATAAGAGGTACATCAAGTGGATGAATGTATTTTTGTAGTCCTAAGGCAGTAGAGCAGTTTTATGAAAGGATATTACTTCTCCATACAAAGGGTACAACCAACTTTGACTCTCTAAGAACAGTTAATGGTATCTCCTATTCAACCTTTAGTGAAGCATGTAATGCTAAAGGGTTACTCCAAAATAATGATGAGTGGAAGAGGGTACTAAAGCATAGGTCTTCAAGGTTGACTAGATTTCAACAGTGTCTACTATTTGCTATTATCTTAACTGACTACAATCTAGCTGAACCTAAGACATTGTGGGATCAGTTCAAGATATCTATTACTAAGGACTGCTCTTATCAGTTAGTAAACCAATATGGCATTATAAATTTATCTGAAGAGTAGAGGTTATCACTTGATTTAATTCTTTTAAACCATATCCTGAAACAAAGAGGAAAGTCACTCCATGACTTTGAAATTTCCTGTCTATCTTACCAATTTTAGTTAGTTGATCAAGGTTTATACAATCAAAATCTTTGTCAAGACAACAATCTTCATTGAGTATAATATCTATTTCAAGCCAGAGCAGAGGTAGAAAGAGACTTGTAGAGATGTAATATCCTCCAACACAATGTTATGGACAGAATAATAGAGTGTGTAAGATATAACAATCTAGGTTTATTTTTCTAGATGGCCCTGGAGGAACAGGAAAAACATTGGTGGAAAATGTACTCTTGAACATTATTCATACAGAGGGCAAAATAGCTATTGCAGTTGCAGGCAGTGGTATTAAAGCAACTCTGTTGAATTCTGGGAGGACTGCTCATTTATCACTTAAAATTCCAATTAGTCTTGATAAGGATTCTACTTGCAATATCTCTAAAAGTTTGGTACTAGTACAACAGATTCAGCAAACTAGAATACTTATCTAGAATAAAGCTCCTATACAATACCAGTATGTATTTGAGGCTGTTGATAGAATATTATGAGATATTCGTAACTGTTCTTCTGAACTATTTAGTGGATTAACTATTCTTTTTGCTTAAGACTTTAGACAGTGCTTACCAGTAGTTCCACATGGCTCTCAGGCCCAGATTGTTGCCTCCACTCTAAAAAGATCCTATCTTTAGTCCTCTATTATTACTCTTTATCTAAATGAAAACTATCAACTTCTAAGAGTCTATCTATTACTAGAACAATAGAGAGATACAATAGAGTATTCAGGTTCTGAATTTATCCTAGCCATTGGGGAAAAGGAGATGGACCATTCTACTATTGATCAAATCCCCTTACCAAAGACTCTGCAACTTTCAAACAACACAATTGAGAAACTTATTGGCAGTATCTACTGGGATCTTAAGAGTGGAGTACCTGCATCTGAATATCTTACTGGAAGAGCTATTTTAGCACCCTGTAATATTGATGTTGCCAATATCAATGATATAGTATTGGATCTACTACCTGGAGATCCTACAATATATTTTAGAGCTGATACTGTTATAGAAGAAGGTGCTGAACTCTATTCCAGTAAGTATTTAAACTCACTTACACTATTAGGAATGCCATACTATCACTTATCATTAAAGATCGGTGCTACTATTATACTTTAAGAAATCTTAGTCTACTTCATGGTCTTTGTGATGGTACTAGACTTCAGATTATATACTTGGAAAGAAATTTTATTGCAGGAATTATTCTTACTGGTACAAGTAGTAGACAAAAGGTCTATATACCACACATTCAAATTACAAGCAATTCAGACAATGATTTTGGCTTTTGACTTACTAGTAATAGGAGGCACTGGTAGTATGCAGTTCACTTAGTATTTGTAATAACAATCAACAAAAGTCAAGGACAGTCATTAGATACAGCTGGAATTTTATTGGAAAATGATATGTTTACTTATGGACAGTTGTATGTGGCATTATCTTGAGCATCTAATCCTCAAAATGTTAAGGTGCTAATAAGGGATAATACACCAGTTGGTATTACAAAAAATATTGTATTTACAAAGATTTTATAGTTAAATTAAGCAGTAGGCATTGTCTTCCTATAGGTTAAGCTATCATGATAATAAGTACCAGGAAAATTATGATAATTGGTGATAAATGCTCAGAGAGGTAATATTAACTGTACTGCATTCAGAATGTAGGAATCAGTATGGTTACACACGGCTAAACACTTGTCATAGATAGAATCTCATACCAGAAATGGTTATCACCACCCCCAACCCTGCTGATACAAGGCATTACATTTTGAAACAGCATTGGGACAGGTTGTACTCCCTTTTCCACCATAGCGTTGTCTACAAGGCCTGGAGTTAAATTTTGTTTTTGATAATCCTGCATTGTATTATCTTTTCCTCCTTCGAACGTTATTCGTAGAGCCTCCATCCCTCCCTGAGGGCGGGCGATCGCTAAGCTATAAAAATGGTACTCAATTACCCTACCGGTACAGGACATGTGATTTAGTTGGTATAACTGCGTGCCCGAGTATCTATGATATCTTGGTCCCCGCTGTTAGAGCCCGCTCTGTTCAGAAATGCAATTACCGGTATGTTGACTCGGACGCCCCCTGCAGCCCATCACCGCCTAATACCTGTTACCGCACCATACTGTTTTGGCGACTACAATATTTTCCTCTAGTATAATAAGGTCCCGCAACTG